AGTTACCCTGCTTGAGGTACATGTCTTTGATTAACCTGGGACATTTTTCAGCCCTTAAATATTGATTTGTCCCTATTCTTTTTTTTTTTCTACAAGTTATATCAAAGGTTTGTGGATCCTTGCATGTTATCCTTCCAATGCCTTAATTACTTTTGAAAAATAATTTTCTCCATTCTTTTCTGTTTATTCTGTTATTTCCCCTTATTCAAAAATTTTCTCTTCATTTGTGTTTAATGTACTGTTAACTCCTGCATTTGGCACTACTTTTTCCTTGTGTGTTACACCTTTTAAAACAATCACACGGAGAGACAGTGTATATACGGTAAAAGGAATGCAGTTTAAGTATACAGCTTGATGAATTTTGACAAATGTGTTCACATGGGTAACCATTAATTACCCTGTGGCCTGGCTGCAGTCTCTCCACCCCCAGCACCAGCACAAGGTAACCGTTGTCCATTTTCTGTCACAAGAGATCAAGGGTTTTTTTTTCTATTCAAAAATTTCTTATAAATAAAAAAACTTGCTTCTTGGGTGGCACCTGTGCCTCAAAAGGGTAGGGCACTGGCCCCATATGCCAGAGGTGGTGGGTTCAAACCCAGCCCCAGCCAAAAAAAAAAAAAATGCTTCTTTTATCGTAAAGTTTTTTTAGTTCATTCATGTTGTTGCATATATATCAAGTTTTTTCTTAATGCTGAGTAGCATCCATGTGTGCTTATCCCACCATTTGTCCCAATAAATGTGTAAATGGATATCTGGGTTTTTTCCAAATTTTCTGTCATTATGACAGACTCTGGTCAGAGCAAAATAGCATCTTTTTAATGGTCTTAATTGGCATCTCTCTGTTTACTTTAGAGGTTCAGCATCTTTTCATGTTTTATTTTTTCTCGCTATTCCTATTTTTTCTTTCTCTTTTTATTTTTGCCCATTTTCCCATTGGGTTATTTGTCTTTTCTTTTTGATTCTCACAGTAGATCCTAAAGTACTCTTTATATTAATTTTTGTTATTTGTTAATATGATGCAAATATGTTCCATCATTTTTGACTTGCCTTTTCACTTCATGATGTCTTGGTTGATAGATAATCAGAAGTTACTAATTTTAATATAGTAAATGTATTAATATTTTATTTTTAGTGCTTTCTGTATCTTGTTTTAAAATTGTGTACTTAACTGAAGGTTATACAGATAGTTTATATTTTCTTCTAAATCTTGAAAGTTCTTTTTTTTTCACATTTAGGTATACATTTATTGTAGAATTAATTTTTGTATTTGGCAGGAGATAAGGATCCAATTTAATTTTTCATGTATGCATAACTAGTTGTACCCTAGCTGCTTATAGAAAATTCATTTTTCCACAAGGATCTGAAAATTCATGTCTGTTATACTTCAAATTTGCACATGTGCCCAGGTCTGGTTCTCTTTCTTATTCCATGGGAGTTCTAGTCCTGTTCCAAAGATCACACTTTATTAATCTGTTGTGACATATCTTAGTATCTAAATGAGTATGCGCCCCACTCTTCAGGATTATCTTCTTTACTTGGTACTAGATGTTAGATACAACAACTTGGTTAGATTTAGGTTAATCTGTGGCAAGAATACTTTACTGTCTTCATGTGGGCTTCCTATTATAGACACTATCAGGTAGTATTATTACTAACGATGCTCATTTTGCTTGTTTAGGATGCTACCGGTCATATCTCCCCGTTGTAAAGTAACAATTCTTTTCCTTTCAAATTATTTTAAAACAAACTAATGAGGCTAAGTTGAATCCATTACTTATTAGGGCTTGGGAAACAGTAACTATCAGTTTTATCCATCGCTAGCAGGCATTTTCTATAAAAAAAAAAAAAGAGAGAGAGAGCTCTTCCTTGTTAAGAGGAGGCAAATTTATAGTTTACTTTCAAAAAGGATTAAATGCTTAATTCTTTCCTTTAATCACCAATGTTCAGAGTAAAGATGTGAGGTAGTAGTTGCCTTCAGTGAAAGTGGGGTGTTCCCTGTTTTTCTATGTTGTTGAGTGTCATTATGGATTTTAATTTTTACTTATTTAGTGTTAAATCAACCCTAGTAATTATTATGCCTCGTAATACTCAAATTGTCTCAAATTGACTAGTGTCTTTTTTACACAATCTCATTAGTCTTTGAGTATTTCCTTACTTTCAAACATCAGATATTTATGACTCATCTTGTACTTCTCTTGCCATAAGCTGAAAGCTTCTCTAGCCTCATCCCAGTTTCAGTTTATCTGCTTATTGCTCTGTATTTCAACCCTCTTTTCTTTTCTGGCCTCTAGGCGTTTCCTCAAGGTTTTTGTTCTTGCTGTTGTTTTTTCAAAGCTCAGGTACCATATTTTTTCCATACCAAATACTCACTCACCACCAATTATGGGATAGATTTTATACGGAGAATACAGAAGTGGACAAAATTTCTCTTATCCCAAGGAGTCAACATTGCAAGAATCCTTGTTATATCAGCTATGCATTTCAGTATATATTATATTCTATGCGTTCAATTTTAGATATGGTAGAGGTTTTAAAGTAATCCTATATTACTGTTGCAGGAATGAGTGATAATTTGTAAATTATGCATCAGTATGCAGAACGAATATTTAGAACAACACAGAAAATAGGAAGTCCAGTTAGTAGAGAATTGCAATACTTCAGGTATGAAGTGGTTAGACTACTGGTAAAAGTGAGAATGGAAAAAAAAAAAACTAGATTACGGGAATATCTTAAAGAGAGATAGTATTTTATAACAGTTCATTAAGAGGGTATGCTATAAAGGAAGGAGTCAAAATTATCACCCACTTTTCTTCCCTGATATACAGAAAGAATGATTATAACACTGCTAGGAACAGTGGAGCTGGTATGAATGGGTGGGCAGGTAAATATATCATTTGGAGTCTGTGGGCTGTAACTTTGTATCTCATATGCCATACAATGTACACATTCTGACAATTAAGTTTGCAAACTTATCCAAGAAAAAGTGCTACATACCTTATTGCACTGTAGTTGCTTTCTAAGTATACCCCTTAGGAAGCTAGAAACTGATGCCAGTGCCTAGTCCATCCTTCTGGAATGGCCATCAGAGCTGTGTTCATATTACCCTTGATGTCCAGAAAAAATGTCTTTCTTTCAATATTTTCTTTATCTTCAGGTAAAGAAAAAAGTCATTGCGGGTCAGATCCGATGAATAGAGACAGTGATCCAAAATGGCTCTTTACTGGCTAAAAAACTCCCTCACAGATGGGGCCACGTTACCTGGCACTTGGTCCTGATGCAAGTGCCATGAGTCGTTAGTGAAAAGTTCAGGTCATTTTTGTCTTTTTCGTAATGCCCTTTCAGCACTTCCAAAAAATAAACTTGATTGACTGTCTGATATCAAAAAAGGTTAGTAACATTGTTTTGACTCTTGATCTGTACTGACAGAACAGTTTTGGTCCTGGAGAATCTGCTGACTTCCATTGTTCACTTTGACGTTTTCTTTAAGAGTTATGTTGGTACACTCATGTTTCATCACCAGTGATAACATGGCCTTTGACATTGACTGGCTTCTCAAAAAGGTCTTGGCAAACTTCAACTCTCTTTTGCTTTTGTTCAACAGCTCCTTTGGGACCATTTTTGCAAACATTTTTTCTCATGCCAAGATTTTCACGTAAGGTTTTTCTGTTTCTTTATTTATGTTTAGAGGGTCTGTTATGCTTCTCACCGTGAGCCAATGAGTTTGATGCACAATTTGATGGATTTTTGCAATGTTTTCATCAATTCTCTTGTTACTGGCCACCCTGACCTCTCTTCAGTAGAGTTTCTCTCCTCTCATAAGAATGTTTAATCCATTTGTATACTCCTATCTTTTTCATGGCATAATCCCCATAAACTTGTACTAACCTGTCCTGGATTTCACTTCCAGTCTTGCCAAGTTTAACAAGAAATTTAATGTTTGCTCACTGCTTTCTAATTCAAGCTCTGACATTCTTTTGATGACATACAAAAACATGTAACAATGAACACCACTCAGCAAGACACCGACACAGGATACCACAGCTGTGATATACTGATACACTAAATTGTTTGGCCAGCACTGTAAATGTTAGCTCACAGTGGCAAGTTCACAACTTGCCAGATTTTCCTATTCGCGTGGTGTTTTATGCATAAAGGTGAATAATTACAATTCACTACATTTGAAAAAAGCAGAATGTCTCCAGGGAACCGAAAATACAGGAGAAGACAGCCTAAGCCATAGGATTACAGGTTGGGGGGGGGGTGCTTTATTTCTCTAGAATCAGGTTTGGTGTCTGGCCTCAATTAACATCAAATAAACGAAATCTAGGTCATTTGCATAGATGTGATAGCTGACTCACAAGAATAAATCTTAATGCAAAGTACATTTAGTTGCTACAGCTCACACCCCCCCCCCCAGCCCTTCTATGCCCTGCATTGCAAAAAGTGGCTTGCAATTATGTTTAGAAGAAACAATTCTAAAAGTACCTCCAGTTAGGGATAATTAATGAAGGAGCTGAAAACTCCGAAGCTGTTTTTTGGAGGGTAGGGTGAGAAGGCATTCTAGAGTTAGAAGTTAAAGTGAGATTTGCCACTTTTGAAGTTGTTATTAATTATATCAATTTTATAGGAGCCTCAGATTATCTCCACAAGGCAGAGCTTCTCAATGCAATCAGTGCAATATCTTCTCCACGATCTCCCGAATAGACACATCACTTTTTAGGTTATTAGCCAAAGACTTGACTGCTCTGTAGCACTCGCTAACTAAAAGGTTCATGGACTCCCCTCAGTCTTTTCAAGCTAGGGACCAGAAATTTCCATTCTGCAGACCAGAGCCGCCCTTTCTAGACTCATCCTCAAGGGGGCGGCGACTAAGGAGCCACACCTTAACTGCAGACTCAAATCAGCAGCAAAATCTCCCCGCCCGGCTCCTGGGTGCGTCAGATTAGTCGCTGGGGTCAGCGCCTCGAACTGAGTTTGCGCATACTTGTGGCGCGCAGCGGGCGCATGCGCATTGAGGCTAAGGCCACTCTGGGCGGGTCTGGGCGGCTCCAGTGTTTTGGGACCCAGGAGCTGTGGGAGGAGCCGGAGGCCTCACCGTGGTAACCACAACGCCGCAGCTGCCCCGCCTTGCAGGCCTCAGGACTGTCATCGCGTCTGGGTGTGAGGGTACTTTGGCCACGGTCCCCGGAAATAGCCCGGCCGGCTTCTCTCAGATAACCCCATCCTCCCCACGCCGCAGTCGCCGCCGCCATGCAAGGGGAGGACGCCAGATACCTCAAAAGGTGACGACTCCCCTAGGCTCTGTGCCTGCCCTCCTTGCTGGGGCCCTGAATATGTTCTTAGATGTGCTTGGGTTGGGTGTAAGATGTCACTGGGCTGCGCTAGTTTTAGAAGAGGCGGTGGGAGCCAGGTACAGAAGTCACGGAAAGGAAAGGGAAAAGGTGACTCTAGATAAAAAGAAGAGAGCCCTGCAGGGATGTGAGATCGTTGAGCCTCTTGCATGACTGGGCAGAGCCCTGACAGCTTTGAGAAGTGGTTTTCTTGCCATACTACATTATTCCAGGGGGAGAGGGAAGTGGGGCGAGGTAAACCGCGCCTTTCTGCATCCCCCCGCCCCCAGATAAATCCCGTGGGAGCCTGGGAATGAAGCCTCTGCCTTCCGTCCCCAGTTTGGGGTTCACTGCCATTGGGTTTTGCAATGATGGAGAAAGTAATGGTGGCTTCTACTTTATGAAAGGTTGGATTAAGGAGTTGTTTCCTAGCCTACTTCTGTTTTCTTCATCCATTCTGTCCATTTGACTATCATAATACAAAATAGTTTTTGTAGGAGATTTATAGTTACCAAGAATTTCAGGAACCTACAAAAGGCCATAATTTCTTTTAAATATTTGTAGTATCAAGTACTCTTTTTAAAAAATTGTAATCTCTTCGGAGAATTTGTATTCTGACAAAGATCAGATCACTCCTGATCAAAAAATACACATACACACACACACAAAAACCCCCCTCTCACCAGACCAAGAATTAGCAATGATCCAATAGAAAAAAAGAATCTTAATTTGGCGTCCCCATTTTAAATTAAGGGCCTGTTACTGGTTCCGTTAATACCCTGGAAAATTCACATGTATTCTTTTGGATACAATTTCCTCATCTGAAAATGAGACACATACTACCTATCTTCTGAGAGATACAAGGATGAAATATGAAAATCCTTTAAAAAAATAAAATATGCATGGGAGGTGGTGGTATTATTTCAAATCATAATATGCTTTTGTTGAATATATTTATCCTAGCTAGGCAAGACTGATCATCACAGAAATATCTTCCAAGCATTAATAGACTCTTTAAAATGACTCAAACAACTGTCAAGTAAAATCAACTGTACAGTCCTTGCAAAACTAAAGCATACATTGCCTTTTTCATCTTATGTAAATACATCTTAAGTTGGCAAATAGCCAGCCTTTATCAGTAAAAATGGCTTAAATGAATATATGAGCCTTACAAATATGTAATCAGTATTTATTTCCTCACTGAATTTTGCTTACATTAATCTTTAAAATACCTTGGCTAAAAATTTTTGTGACAGAAAAAAATAAACTTTAAATTCAAAATTCTTCTAAAACAAAAAGCCATTATTATTCCATTAACTGGTTTTCATGTAATACATTTGTGTTAGCGGTAGTTTTTCTTAGGATTATTATACCCGTATCAACCCTTAGGCAACTTTTAATTCTTAATCTATCGCTTTCTTTTAAAGCCATATTATCTAGAGCTCAAAAATGAAACTCAGTCACTGTAATATTTGGAATAAAATAAGATCAGAATATAGAAAGGTTGAAAAAATACATTTCTCCATTTTGTCTGATTTTCGATCATATACATAGTTTGTATTGTCTACTTTGTGGTTAGAAATGTACAGCTTACATGGATTCATATCTGTATGAATTCAGACCTGATGGAAAGGTTTATGATATCTGATAGAACCTTCCATTTTTATTACTGGTTCTTTAATAATGATTGCATGCATTTTTTAAGCAATATTTTTACTTTTATTTTTATATAACAAGACAGTGTATGTTTTCAATCTAATTGATTCACTCCAATTTTAATTAATTTCATTGGTTTCATTATAGCTTTTATTACTGAGAAATCTCTACTATCTTTGTATACATATGTAATATTTGCATTTTTTACAGGTAATATGTTACAGAATCATAAATCTTGGATTTCATTTTTTGTTCCTCCACTAGTTTGTGTTTTGATTCAATAGCATTGACTAAATACTTAACCATATACCTATTGTATGCTTAGGATTGTTGACTACAGTTCATGTCTTCAGTAAGATAAACAAAAAAGTAAATAGACAGTTAGATACACTTTTTTTTCCTTTTTGCCCCCTCTTAAAATTCTTTCCATTGCTTTCCATTGCTCTTAGTGGAGGAGTACCTACCTACCTTCTCAGCTTCATCTCTCTCTTTTCCTTTCCCACCCCCAATAATTTCATATTTCAGTCTCACAGAAATAATTTCTTTTGGATCTCCGTGTATTTCAGTGTGTGGTTCCTATACTTCCTTCCTATTGTCTGGAACTTGCCCTATTCTTTATCCTGTTAATTCTTCCTCTTTTCTTGTTTTAGCTTAAATGTCAGTTTTTTCAGAAAGCTTTCCTGAGCCTCCCTTTCACACCTTACAACGCAGGTCAGATATGCCTGTTAGGATCTCATAATACCTAATACCTTGTTTTCCCTCAATCTTACTATTTCATGGTTTGTATTTCCTTCTGGTTTATAAACTTCATAAGGGTAGGGTACTATGTCTTACTTCCCATTGTATCCCCAGCACTTTGCACAGTGCGTGAAACATAGTTATTAAAGTAAGAAATATGGGCCAAATCGTATAGGTCAAGTCCCAAATGTGGGGCTTAAGAGCTGTAGTAAAGAGTTGAGACTTTATTACAAGCATACTGGGGGATTGCTGAAGGATTTTTAAGAGCCACTGGCATTCATTCCTTCATTCAATAGTTATCGGAGATTTTACTGTTAGTCTTTCAGCTAAGTGATAAAACATATTTGGTGAATGAGATATAATGTGTAAAATGCCTTTATGGCATTTGTACATACTTTAAACAGTATTTTATCAGAAGTAATATACTGATACTTATTTTATTTATAAGTGCTATATGCAGTTAGTATGCAGCTTTTGTGTCAAGCTTTTTTTACATAGTATACTCAAGGTCCATTTATGTTATATTATGTTATAAGTACTTCATCCCTTCTTATTGCTGAATGACATTTCCTATGGTTTGTTTATTCCCACCAAAGCTCATGTTGAAATTTGGTGTCTATTTTGGTGGTGTAGGGTGATGGGGCCTGGAAGGTGTTAGAATCATGGGGAGGATCCCTCATGAAAGGCTTGGTGCTATTCTTGTGGTAGTGAGTTCTCACTCCGGCAAGAATGGATTTATTCTCTCAGGAATAGATTCATTTCCTCCAGAGTTCATTGTTATAAAGCCAAAAAGTTCCCTGGGTTCTCATTCTTTGCACTTCTCTGTTTACCTTCACCACCATGTTATGGCAGCACAAAAGCCCTTGCCGGAAACCAAGGCCATGCCCTTGAACTTCCCATCCTGTAGATTTTTGAGCTAAATAAACCTCTTTCCTTTATAAATTATCTAGTCTTAAGTATTCTGTTATAGCCACACAAAATGGACAAAGATGATATTCTATTATATAGATATGCCACCTTTTATTTATCCATGATTCATCTATTGATGGATATCTAGTTGTTTCCCCCTATTGATTTGGGGAAATAAGGCTGCTGTGAACCTTACTGTACAAGTTTCTGTCTGAACAACTGTTTTCAATCTTTTGATGCATGCCTAGATGTGGAATTGTCTATGGTAATTCTTTGTCATATGTTAATTCTTTAAACTCAACAAAGAACCACTACAGTGTTTTGCACAGTGACTGCACTATTTTACACTCCTATCAGCAGTGTATGAGCGTTCTAATTTTTCTATTAATATACCTTCACCAACCCCTGTTATTTCCCTTTTCTTTCTTTCTTGATTTTGTTTTTGTTTTGTAATTATGGCCGTCCTATTTGATGTAAAGTGATATCTTATTTTGGTTTTGACTTACATTTTTCAATTATTAATAACACTAAGCATCTTTTCATGTGCTGCTTGGCCCTTCATCTTTCTTTAGGGAGAAGAGGTTCTTGTCAAATACATGACTTGTAAATATTTCATCCCATTCTGTGAGTTGCCTTTTCATTTTCTTAATATGCAAAACTTTGGCATGCAAAAATTTTTAATTTGAGCAAAGTTGAATTTATTCTTTTGTTTTTGACATTTTGTTAAGACATTATTGCCAAGGGAGGTGCCTGGGCTCAAGGAGTAGGGTGCCGGCCCCATATACCGGAGATGGCAGGTTCAAACCTGGCCCCGGCAAAAAACTGCCAAAAAACCAAAACCAAAAACCAAAAAAAAAAAAAAAAGAAATTATTGCCAAATCTAAAGTCTTGAATATGTAGTATTTGCCCTTATGTTTTCTTCTAAAAGTTTTATAGTTTTAGTTCTTAAATGTTTGACTTTGATCCATCTTGAGTTAATAATTGTGTATGGTATATGGTAAGGATATAACTTCATCCTTTTACATATGGATATCCAGTTGTCTTGACACTATTTTTTAAAAAGATTGTTCTTTTCTTCCATGAATGGCTTGGGTATTCTTGTTAAAAATTAATTGACCATACATGTAGAGGTTTATTTTATTGATCTATGTATTTATCCTTGTGCTAGTACCTAACCGTTCTGGTCACTGAATCTTTGTAGTGAGTTTCAAAATCAAGAAGTATGAGTCGTCCATCTTTCTGTTGTTCTTTTTCAAGATTGTTTAGAATTTCTTGTATTTCCACATAAATTTTAGAGTCAGCTTTTTATTTCTAAAAAATAGTTATTGGGACTTTGGTAAGGACTTGACTTAAACTGTATATCACTTTAGGAAATACTGCCATCTTAACAATATGAAGTCATTCAGACCATAAACATGAGATAATTTTCCATTTCTTTAGTTCTTATTTTTTTCAGCGATGTTTTGTTGTTTTAGTATACATTTATTGTACCTCCTTGGCTAAACTATTCCTGAGTATTTTTTTTATTTGTACTGTAACATTGTTTTCTTAATTTTCTTTTTGGATATTTCACTGTTAATATATAGAAAAATAATCAATTTTTTGTATGCTGATCTTCTGCAACTTTGCTGAACTTGTTTATTAGCTCT